GTGCACCGGGGCAGGTGGTGCCGCAGCTCATGAGGCCGAAGCAAAGTGCACCGCAGATGAGGCCGCAGCAAGGTGCCACACAGATGAGCCCGGAGCACAGTGCCACGCAGATGGGCCAGATGGGCCCGCAGCAAGGTGCCACGCAGATGAGCCCGCAGCAAGGCGCACCGCAGGTGAGGCCGCAGCAACAGCAGAGTGGTGGTGGTGTGCTGCAAGGGGACACCGCCGTGAGTGCTGCCAAAGCAGCGCAAGCTGTGCCGCAGCAGAGTGGTGGTGGTGCGCAGGGGGATGCTGCCGTGAGTGCTGCCAAAGCTGCGCCTGTGGAGGAGGCCAGTCGTGGAGAGCTGACTGGGCTTTGGCGTGTTGGGTCGCCAATTCAAAGCCCTCCTATGAAGAAGCGGCGTGAAGATGGCAGCGAGGTGCCGCAGAAGGCAAGGCCAGCTGCGGCGCCAAGGATTGCGATGGGGGCAGATGGGAAGCCTCGGCTGCAGCCCACACCGAAGGTGAGGCCCGAGCCAGCTGAGGAGAAGCCGGAGGTTGCTGTGGCTGCGCCTACAAGTGGTGCAGATGACAGGCAGGCTTGGTTGGAAAAGCAGAATGCAGACCTGGAGCAGCAGTTGGCGCAGGCAAAGAAGTACCTGCACCAGTATGAGCAAGCTCAGGCTCGACAGGGAAGACCGGCTGAGCTGCAGGGCACACCACAGCCCATGGCCCGCCCTTGTGTGCCTGAGCCGGGCACACCGCCGCCAATGGCCCGGCCTTGTGCGCCTGCCCAGTTCCAGGTGCCACCAACGCCAGCGCAGCTCCCGATGCCTATGCCCATTCCTGCGCACATGCTGGTGCCACCGGTTCCTGTGCCACTATCACCCATGCAGCAAGTGATGCTGGGGGGCCCTTGCTTGTCGCCACCGCCGCTGCCTGGAAATTTGGTGTTTTCCCCTGCTACCAGAATGAGCCAGGCGTTTATGGACACCCAGGTTGTGGGCTCGCCGCCTCAGACATGGATGTCGCAGAACTTGGGGCCATGTGCTGGGAGCCATGGTGGTTGTGCTCCAAATGCTGGAAGCCTTGGTGGCGGTGCAAGTGCTGGGAGCTTTGGTGGTCCTGGCAGCCTTGGTGGTGCTCCATGCGTTGGGAGCAGTGGTGCTCCATGTGCTGGGAGCAGTGGTGCTCCATGTACTGGGAGCCATGGTGGTGGCGGTGCTCCAGTTGCTGGGAGCCAGGCTCACACACAAGATCGCAAGGGACCTCCCCTCGGTTCGGCCAGGGCCGCCAAGCCAAGGTCCAGAAGCAAAGGCCATTGATCAGGCCATGGACAACATCTACGACAGCATGCTCACGTTGGCTGGTTTGGAAAGGAGCAGTGATCTTCCGAAAGAGTTCCATGTTTTGGCGCACAACTTGCTGGAGCGGAGTGTGGAGGCCAGACGGGCCAGAGCAGGTGGCAGTTCTTCGATGGAAGGAGCACAGCCTGTCCTGGCTGCCCAGACTGCAGCCCCAGCAGGTCCGAAGGTGGCCGGGGCCATGCCTGAGGTTGAGGTGCCCACAGAGACACCGACGTCGGTGGTCGAGGATGATGAAGAGCAAGCACGTGCGTTGTGACTTGGCAAGTAAAAAGTGCGTGCGGGTTTTGTTGTGTGTGTTGCATGTAAATGGGCCTGAGGAAAGTCAACAGCCAAACCCATCCGAAAGAGTATGGGTTTCTCAGTCGCTACTGCGCAAAGAATGACAAGCGCTACAATGAGACCAGGGCAGAGATCAAGAAGAAATGGGACCAAGGTCCCAGACTTGTGCTCGATATACACATATCTGTTTGTATATATATATATATATATATGCAACTTTAAACAAGCAACACAAGCTGTCATGTGTCGCATCAAAACCTTCAAACCCTGATTGAGTTTCCTTTCATTTGCAGGAGGCTATGCCAAGAACAAGCTCCTTCGCGAGTTCGTGCAGAAGTGCTACCAGCCTGACTCAGAGGCACATGAGAATGCGGCTCCTGGGCTGAAGATGTGATGTGTGCACAAGATTGCTTTGCATGTTAAGTTCTGTGTGGTAGGTGTACCGTGCAAGAGCATTGCTACATCTAAGGCACGCTTGGAATGCCTTTTCAAGTTGCGTCAAGTGAGCAGGGAATGGAAGAAAAGCCTGAAGGGCTTCGAGTGGCACAGCCTGTCGGACATGATGGCGGTCCTCAAATGGTCAGAGACCTTTGGCAGCCTTATGTGTATAGACATAAAATGCATGCGCTTGTGTGTCTGAATATCCTGTGGCGCATGCATACTGCATATCTATCTATCTATCTATCTATCTATCTAAATGTATATACATATATATCTACATGTGTAATCAATCAAACTCATGCGCATACATGTTTACATTATACATTTTTCATGTTTATATATATATATATACATGTATATACATATATGTGCATACATTGATAATATATTTATAGATAGATAGATCGATAGATAGATAGATAGATCCACATTGAATATGTGTGTATGTGTATATATATATATGTGTGTATATATATGTATACTTACATGGAGATTTGTCTTGGACTTCGCCCTCAACAACCTTAAATTGTTTGAGGCATCCTGCAATCACATGTTTATATCGGGTTTTGTAGGGCCAAGGTTCAGGGCCCTTAGGGTTTTGTACCTTGAGGTCTTCCATCGTGTTTCAAGGCTGGATTAATTGGGAGGGGGGGGGAGCCGATGATGCATGCTGCACAACCATATATACATGTATCTCTTTCGCTTAAGTTAAACTGGAAACTCACCTGGGGCAAATCATCGCATTTTTTTTCGCGGGCACAGTGAGAGTCTATGTTGTGAGGAAGAAATCCCTCGGTGCTGTGGCGCACTGTGAGCGCAACAAGCTGTTCAAGAAGTGCCCTTACGAGGGATGCCGAAAGTATCTGGTGCAAGTTACTGATCGAGTGGAGCTTCTATGCTGCACATTATAGAGTGCAGTGTGACTGTGTCTTGTTGATGTTGCTTTTGCTTGTTTGCTGTCTGGATCTGCCTGACACAAGGCAGGGATCAGAAGCACTGAAGGAGCTGGAGGAGTTGTTGGAGAGCACAGGCTACTTCTCTCTTCAGCAACATGTGCTGATTGCAAGGCTCTGTTAACATTTTGGATTACAGGCACTCTCCGCGAAAACTTCGACGTGGATGTGGGTGTGGGTGACCTTCTGGAGGTCACAGATGATGAGGGTCCAGGTGATGCAAAGGGCGCCAAGAAGAAGGGTGCTGCCCTGCCAGATCTGGATGGAGATGAGACAGTGGCTGAGTTCGTGTCCAAGTACAAGAAGACATGCTTGAACAAGCGCCAAATCTTCCGTGAGACTGCTGAGCGCCTGACGAGAGAGCAGTGCACTGGCCATGAGAAGCTTCCCTGAATAAATGCTTAGGTGCACAATGTGCTCTGTGTGTGTGTGTGTTTTTGCTTTTGTCAATTCAGTTCAAGTGCTGAATACTTGTGAGGAAAGATCATGGGGAACTGAAAGCAGAGATGGGCACCTTGCCGTTTATTCTCATATCCATATTTTATATATTACATGGAAATTATTTGCGAAAATCCATTGCAGCTTGACACCCTGCTTGTCCCTAAACTGAGATGCCATAAATGGGCTCTATGGGCAGCTGTGCGACATGGAGGTGAATCCAAGCATCAAGCCACTTGCCAGCATGCGTTTGAGCTAATCTCAGTGTGCTACAGGTGCATTTACACGTTTTGAGTGTGCACTGTCACTATATACCTGTGCAGGACAAAGCATGAGTACTCCTCGGTCTGCGAGCAGATCAAAGCTGCCTTGATTCGCTTCACAAACAAGCTGAACATTGTCAAGTCCATGCCTTATGAGTGCAAGTATATAATATATACCTATATATATACACATTCCTGTGTATATGAAAATTTCTACATGTGTAGAAATAGACCTATAGAATATATCGAGCAGCATGCGCATGTCCATTGCAAATGCATGCTCAGCCATGTGTGTTTGTAGGTACTCTCTCTCTCTCTCATACTCTCGCTATCTCTCTCTCTCTCTCTCTTTTATCTTGATCTCTCTTTCTCTCTCTCTCTCTCTCTCTCTCTCTCTCTCACTCTCTCTCTCTCTCTCTCTCTCTTTTCTTTCTTTCCCTTTCTGAGGACGTATTTCCGCAAGGCTACCGCCAAGAGCAGGAGCAAGGCCAAGGCCAAACCTGAGAAGCTCGAAGACTGAGTGCTGCCACAGGTGTGCAGCAATTTTGGCATGATCTGTGTGTCAAGCTGTGCAGTCTCATTGGTGCGATTCATTTTCGAACAACGAATACTCATACACATAGATAACTATCTTTATCAAACTGTTTTCATATCATACATGTAGATGTGTGCATCGCCAAAAATACATGTATATGTATGTCAAAAGGCATGCTGCAGTGTGTGTATATATATATATAATGTTTATATATCAAGGTCCTCATGTAGACAATGTCTGTTGCTACGTATTTCAGACGGCTGCATGCTTCATTGTCTGTCGCCCAGCAGTCCTCGCGTGTGCGCTACCTGGGTGAAGAAGAAAGCCAGCCTTGAGTCTTGCTCTAGCTCTGCGCATGGACTTCTGAGATGGGGCTTCGGGTTGCGAGGGCAGTCTACTGGGAGTTGGGCAATTGCATTGAACTTGGGTTTGTGGGCTGCTTTCAAAGCTTCAGTGTCATAACAAGCAATTCTGAAGTGAAACTGCAGTCCAGCTGTGGCCTACTTTGTTCTCTTTATTGGTTATCCCCTACGCAGGTGCTTCTGTGGTGCGGAATGTGCTGAAGCACTATCTGGCCACTCGGTCATGATATGCCGTGTTTTCTATTAAGTATTTATATATATATATATACCTTGAGAATGTGTGTGGCTTACACATCTGCAGTGCCAGACTGAACTCTAAAAATGTGTGTGTGTGTGCAAGAAAACATGCAACTGAGGCACACAACGCAGATGGGGCGTCGCGCATGGCGTCGCTGAACGCTGCAACGATGAGTCTTCAGGATCCTTGGCAGAGCACACTGGTGCAATTGGGACTCGCGCATGGAAGTTCAAGTGACAAGGAGACTGTGTTCCTCAACAATCTCAGGGCACTTGGGTTTACATTGCGGACGAAGGTCCAAATGAGAGAGGTCCAGTTCCCTGCAGGGGTTGGCTTGTGCCAGCAGCCTGTGATTCCGGTGAAAGAGTTGGCTGAGGAGATCCTGCAGGATTTCCCTGCAATCTTACTCTTCGGGCATGGGTATGACCAGCTGGACAAAGTGCAAACTACTTTCTCTACTTTCTGGGAGCGCTTCAGGCACACATGGCCCCAGCATCCGGTGTTTGAGGTGCATCACAATGACCTACACCGCTGTATCCCCTGCCGTGTCCATTGCGATGAGGGAACATCATTCCGCAAAGCTGGCATCTTCCAGCACTCCTGGGGCCCAGTCATCAAAAGTGGCCCTGCCAGCTGGCTGCACTGTTTCTTTTACACCTGCCTCCTGGCTCAGCACTACAAGGCTTGCCCTGCGTTGCATCTCATGTGAACCAAGAACATACATATTCGGGGTATACACATCCAATACAAATAGACAAAGACATGCATATATGCATATGTATATATATAGAGACATATATACATATATGTATATGTATTTATGAACTGGTCATAACCACATGTGTAAATTTCATGCCTATAGTTCATACTGACCTTCATTCTTTACTGACCCACAACCATGTCTATGCATGTGGCATGCAAGGATGAAACAAAAAGCAAGGAGATGCAAAAGTGAGAGGGTGTGAGGGCACATGATAAATCGCATGCGCGCAAGGAAATGACAAATATATATATATATATATATATATATATATATTTGTTTTTGTTTATATATATATATATATACGCAGATACAGAGGGCATATATATATATGCATCCTTATTATTGATACGAGTTCTACAAGATTACATTCAGACGTAAACCCAAATGCAGGATGATAATCTGGGCTTTGCAGCTGGCAACAGAACACTTGATGGCCTTCTTGGCCATTTTGTGGATGAGGCAAACGATTGCTTCATCAATGGGCTGCAGAGCCCCCAAGGCAAATTCTTTCTGGTATTTGTGCGGCTTGAGGGTGATTTGCCGGCGCAGGGAAAGCTAATGCATTCAGCGCGGAATTTCACCAACGAGCCAAACCCAATGTGTCCCTGGTGCTTGGCTGATGATCGAAACATTCCATTCGCTGATCATCGTCGAGATGCTGTATGGCGGACAACAACAGGATCACAGAAACCGTGGGGTTCGTGCAGCCCTCTCCATCGACTTCCAGGTGGTGATGAGGAAGAGTTCGTGGCAAAGGACTTGTTCCACATTAGCCAGCTTGGGATCACAAGAACCTTCGTTGCTTCTTGCATATGCTACTTGGTGGACATCGGCCACTTTACGGCTGGACATGCGCCAACTGTGGCTGTACCTGTGCGCCTGAAAGAAGCATATGAGTGTTTCAAAGACCACTGTCGCCTTGTGCAACGTGAAACGCCGGATGTGAAGGCATTTTCTCGGGAAAACCTGGGATGGAAGAGCCGCAACACAATGCCAGAGACTTCTTGGCAACTTGGCTTAATATGGCAACTCCTGTTTTCTGGCAGCCCCACACCCATTGATACAAGTCTACACATGTCGTAAGTTCGTATTTGTTGGGTGAGCCGTTTTCATTTGGAAGTTTGTTTAGGAACACCTGGCTGAAGCCCACCAAACCTTTAAGAAGCCAATGTGCTGTCTGAGGAAAGGGTCAGACAGCCGTCTGCTGGTGAAGTGGTTGGTTGACTACCTGCAGCAACCGTGGCTTCGTAATGAGATAATGGAATGCATGCTGCTTGCGTTGATAGCAATGGATGACTTTCACAGACTCTGCTACCAGCAGGCTGACAGAATCTGGCTCACTGCCGCACAGGCGACGTCTGCACGACACTTTCTGTGGCAGTTTTTCCGCAGCTATGTCAAAGCTGCGAGACTCTGTCATGAGCAAGCGAAATTGTTTTTCAACATCACTCCTAAGTTTCATTATCTTTTGCATATCCACGAGGATTTACAGAGATGTGCTGGGTGCGAGTACGCGCTCAACCCGGCCAGCTTCGCTACTCAAATGGACGAAGATCATGTTGGAGTGGTGTCCCAAATGGGCCGTACTTGTCATCCGCTAGCTGTGTCGAAGCGAACAGCCGAGAAGTGGCTGATCCACATTTGGCTGAAGTGGACAAAGTGAAAACATGAGAGGAACGCCTTGGTGTTTGCCTACTTCGTTGTTGGGGGCACGCATATATATATATATATACATATATAGCATGAAACATGCAAGGTTTATACAGAAACACACATATATATATATATGTATATACATATATACACGCTTTTTTGGTGAATTCTGATTCTCAGGACACCATTCTTGAAAAACCAATCTCAGACAGAAACCATTCTTCAAAAAATGCGACATCCTGAAACTCACAAAAAAAACCACTTTATTCCTTCTACTAAAAAAAAGATGTATTTCGGATTCTTCTTGAAAAAGGAACTACGTTCCCATGTCCAGGTAGGCTTCACAGTACTTGTGTGTTTAGGGTTCATGGGTTTAGGGTTTAGGGTTTAGGGTTTCGGGTATTTGCATAGGGTCTACAGGGGGTACATGGGGTCGGCAGGGCGCGCTGGGTTCATAGGGCTCATAGTATAAGTTTTTTTTTTCTTCTTTTTTTTTTTTTTTTGGGGGGGGGGGGGCTTGTGGGTTTTGGACGGTTTATATTGCATGGGGGCTTAAGAGGGTTCATAGTAAACCCTAAACCCTAAACCCTAAACCCTAAACCCTAAACCCTAAACCCTAAACCCTAAACCCTAAACCCTTTATGCGTGCAGGTTTTATACACTTGTAGGGTTTCGGGTTTAGGCTTTGTAGTTAGTGGGGATCAGGGCCACGGGGCCTGAACCCCCTTGCAGTAGCATGTCGACGCACCGCTTCGACCATGTTAGGGTTTAGGGTTTAGGGTTTAGGGTTTAGGGTTTAGGGTTTAGGGTTTAGGGTTTAGGGTTGGGATGTTCCCCCTTATACGAAGAGTCCTTAGTAGGGATTATAATCGGGGGGTACTAGAATCCCTAATAAGGACTGTTCGTCTAACTAGGGGCTCATTGGCTTTGATGTTTGTTGCCACCATCCTCCAGCACCTTCGTCGGAAGCATCAAGCAGCAAGTTTCGGGCGCATCAAGGAATGTCCTGCTTTGTAGGCACTTACACACCCCAGAAAGACTTCAAAAGCATCTTGTGGGCGGCGAGCCCGATGCGCTGGCACAAGCAAAGGGGACAGCTAAAACGCGCCGGAAGATCCCAGAAGGATGGAGGGTAACCCAGGAAGAAGGGCCTGGGAATCAATAGACAAGGGCTTTTGAGGTTGTGCGGAGCTCCTGCAACCGATCCTAAACCTCGACCTCCTTCTTCTGATCAGCGTGAATTCGTGGGGGCGATTGCCCAAGATGCTTTGATGGGCTTTCTTTTGTGAACCCCAGACCCAACTTAGCTGTGAGGCGTTCGATCGCCAGACCTCTTACGAGCGCCAGGCGGGTGACCTGTGACTGTTCGGAGTAGCTTGGGTTCAGTGTTTGGGATTCATGCAGGTATTCAAGGCACGCACACAGACACGGGAGTTCCTAGAATGGGGCTGTTTTGCTTCTCCCGCGCAGACACGAAAGGGGCGCAAGGTGTCGGAGAGTAAGGTGGCGGATGGCCCCTAAACCCTAAACCCTAAACCCTAAACCCGAAACCCTGAACCCTAAACCCTAAACGCGTGATGTCCCTCAACCATGAGCTTGGCATCTGGACCCCCTACACAGTCACTGTAAACTCTACAAGCACCCATGAATAAAGGCCCAAACCCCAAAAAAGTTGTACCCTATGGCACATGCAACAGCTGTAAACCCTGTGGCTTTATAAACCCGAAACCCGAAATCCTACACCTTGACAACGCTCATAAGCCCCAAACACCGCGACACTCTAAACTCTGAACCCCCGGAGTAGGCACCCTGAAACCTGACCCCAAACCCCTAAACCCTAGACCCTAGACCCTAGACCCTAAACCCTAAACCCTAAGCCCTAAGCCCTAAACCCTAAACCCCTTCCCCTAGGCAGCGTCTTCTCCGATGCTCTCGCGATGTGGCTCCCAGGCTTCGCCCTCAGGGGTCACGTACCTATATGGGTTTAGGGTTTAGGGTTTAGGGTTTAGGGTTTAAAGATCCGCGTGCCTCTACACTTATACACTAACTTACCTTGGCCCCACGGCTACTATATAGCAACCCCTTGAAGGCCCAAGTGAATCCCATATTCATACATGGATCCTACATTCTCTTCCCAGATTTCTGTTTTTTTTGATTACAAGGTGGCGATGAGTTTGTGCTTTCAGCTGAAGGTTCAAAGAATACTCCATAAGAAGACGAATTCCCGCTTTTCAAGTTTGCCCCTGTAATTCGTACAGGGATTAACTTCGTAGTTGTGGCAGCGGGCACATGGATTCCGGGGTTTCATGCCTCCTGGAAGGAAATGGACGCTTCGCAGTGGCCAAAGGGGCTCCGGCATCGGGAGGCACCTGATTCGCGCTTGACTGTGGGCGGATTTAGGGTGTAGGTTTCAGGTTTAGGGTTTCAGTTTAGGGTTTAGGGTTTAGGGTTTAGGGTTTAGGGTTTAGGGTTTAGGGTTTAGGGTTTAGGGTTTAGGGTTTAGGGTTCAGGGTTTAGGGTTTAGGGTTTAGGGTTTAGGGTTTAGGTTTTAGGGTTTAGGGTTTAGGGTTTAGGGATGTTCCCCCTTATGCTAACTGTCTTTAATGGGGATCATAGTACCCCCTCTTCTAATCCCTATTGAGGACTGCTAGTGTAAGGGGGAACATCCCAAGTTTATTGCTTCAGGTTTAGGGGTCTCCTTCCCTGTACTTGATTTCCCTAAACCCTAAACCCTAAACCCTAAACCCTAAACCCTTTCCGCTGCCTAAGTGTGAATACCCCCCTGGTCGCAGAAATTAATCACCATGGGCATCTTTCAAAGTGGGAGGGGATGACCTGGAGGGTCGGGGGACTTGGTAAGCAGGGGCAAGTAGACCCCAAGTGGGGTTTATCCTACTTATGACCCCTAAACACTAAACCCTAAACCCTAAACCCTAAACCGTCAAGTACTTGCTAAGTCTCCCGATGCTCCAAGTATATACTTGCCTCCTAGCCAAGAGCACGCTCTTCCCAGCGAACAGCTCGTTTACTACTACTTGCCTAGGAACCCCCCCAAAAATAGCAGACAGTAATCCCTAGATTACCCCAAATAGATTAGGGTTGTTCCTGTTACCCTATAAGGAAGAACATTTGTTTCGTTTTGGGGGGTTTCTCAGCAAATAGTATCTTTTCCCTTTCCGGAGGAAGGAAGAGGGGGGCCCCAAAACCCAAGGTTCTAAACCCTAAACCCTGAACCCTAAAGCCTAAACCCTAAGTTTGGGGTCGAGGGTTTAAGGCTCAGGCCTTGGCGTTTGAAGGTTTTTATGCTTCAGAGCTTTCGGGCTTAGTTTGGGATGTTCCCCCCGGGGTTTAGGGTTTTAGGTTTATAGGGTTTGAGGGACTCCGGGGTTCTAAGGGTTTTAGGGTTTCAGGGTCTTTTGGGTTTTAGCGGTCTTAGGGTTCAGGGTTTAGGGTTCAGGGCTAGGGTTTAGGGCATTGCCAATGCCCTAACCCCCTTGTCATCCCAAATCGAGGGTTGCCACCTCCCCCCCCGCCCCCAATTGCTCGTTATGACCCGTCCAAGTCAAAGACGCCCCTGTATCACCCAGAGACTCCAAAACCCCTTAATTAAGGAATATACCTTAAATAAAAATAGGAACCCTAATATGATTTAAGGTATATTCCTTAATTAAGGGGTTTTGGAGTCTCTGGGCAGGGCAGTGTCGTGTTCTTCGAAGAACTAAACCCTAAGCCCCGAATCCTAAATCCTAAATCAAACCCGAAATCTCTAAACCCTAAATCCTGCTAAACCCCTAAACCCTAAATCCTAAACCCTAGATCCCAAATCCTCTGGCCAAGTCTTCAAAGTTTTAAATCGCCCATGCTGATCTCCGCATATCTCTGCCACCCGCCCCCCCCCCCCCCCCCCCCTCCCCACGGTTCTTAGTAGGGAATGAGGGAAGTGGGCCCTATGTATACCCTTACGGGGGTGTATAGGGTACCGCATTCCCTACAGCCCAAACCCTAAACCGTAAACCCTACACCCTAAACCCTAAACCCTACACCCTAAACCCTAAACCCTAAACCCTACTTAGAACCAGCCAGTCCTCCAGGCATCCAAATCTTCCAGCAAGAACGAGTCGCCTTTCTCGGACCGGTGGGCTTTTTGGGCTTTTGTGGTTTAGGGATTCGGGACTGTTTTTTATTATTTTTTTTTCGGGAGGTTGCTTTCAGGGTCTAGGGTTTAGGGTTTACGGTTGACGGTTTCGGCTTAGTTTAGGGTTTAGGGTTCAGGGATGATGGCTGAGGGTTTTTGTTGTCAATGTGGTGCCCTGCGTGGAGTTCTCGGAGTCTACGCGGCTTGATTCGTTCTCTTGCGTTTTCGAGCTCGCTGAAGGCCAGTAGCCCTAACTAGACCCTATAAATTTATAAATGATCCTCATGACACCCTATGTACACCCTAATTAAATGTAAACCCTAGTCCAACCCTAACTTAAGCCCTACTTGAAACCCGAATTATGCCCTAATTAGCTGAATGCTGTTTAGACCCTGCAAGGGGTTTAGGGGCTTCGGGAGCTTCTACCGGAGCCTCTCTGGATTTTCCAGTTTCTTCAGGACGCGCCGAAGATCGCAAGGCAGGTCTAGTGTTTCGGGTTAAGGGAGTAGGGCAGAAGCTCGACTAGTGAAAGCTAGCACATGAGCTGCTGAACCTAGATCCTAAACCCTCAGCCATGATAGCCCTTCACTGATCGCCACGCTCGCAAACCCACCAAAACCATGGCTGGAGAGGACCCAGACCTCCAGAAGAAGTTGCGGCTGCGGCGGGGTTTAGGGTTCAGGGTTTAGAGTTTAGGGTTTAGGGTATAGTGTTCAGGGTTTCGGGTTTAGGGTTTAGGGCTACCCGACTTTCCTTTCAGGGGGCATTTTGGCGACGTAGGGTTTGCTGTCTATAGGGTTTAGGGATTACGTCAAGGGGTCCAGGCATTTTATGCTTTGGCCCCAAAGAACTTAGCTACTACTTGATGAATACTC